AAGTTATATTGGTAACATTCCACCACCACCCGTTGCTATGTAAGTATTTATTTGCTATCTCAAATCAATTTATGCTTTCCATTTGACTTCATCACAATCACATGATAAAACTCACATAAATAAACCACAATATCCAATTACTTGGAATGGGCTTTCATGAATCTTTTTTTCTTTATCATCCTCTTTATGATCGTATTCTCTAATCAAATCAATGGTAAGGTTTGCAACTGGCTTAACCCTCCAGCACCTCATTAACAAGGACCAACAATTGCAATGGGTAATGTCACTTTATTCGCTTATCGAATATATGGCATGTGTTCTCAATTCTCATTGCAGCAATCCATGTTACCCTTCTAGTTGTTCTTGTAGCAAATTCAACTTGAATAAGATCAATCTTCTGACTAATGCAGTCATTGTTGTCATTGCATATGACAAAGTGAATCATTCAAAAAAAAAAAGCATGAGAAGGACATTAAAAAACTAAATTCCAGACATAGTGATGATCATCCACCAAGCGAATGTTGAGGCAAATCCCTCACCACAATAATTTATAATCTATTCCTGTAATTCCTGTCTCAAAAAATCGCCTTTAAAGTTATTCATATAGACTTACTTAAATAAGTACTGCTGTCGTCTGTCTGTCTGTCTGTCCTCCGAGGGTGAATACATATGGCATTCTACTGGAACACAGACGAACAGGAGTGGCATCCAACAAACAACAGTCTCTCCTATTCATAGAAGTCAACAAATTTTAAAACCTTTTTGCTTTCGAAGCCTGCTAGTCCATCTATGCTGTTTAATACAAAATCACAAACTTGTTTCCATCTATTTTTTTTGTTTGCTTTCTGTAATTGGAAGCCGTAACCTTAACCCAAGCCACAGGCCCAATTGTATATGCAGTTTTGAGAAGGGTGAAATTTCTATTGTACCTTGTCGTGAATAGGCAAATTATGGTAGCATTTTAACAAACTAGATGCTTTTTATAAGATTAAAATTGACAACGCATCAAGGAAAGGGGGGAACTGTTTTCGGTGTCCCTTTTTATGTAACGCATAATTAACAGAATCTGTTTGTGTCAATAGATTTTTAGTTGTTGTATTTATTTTAAAACCCAAATTTGTTAATACGGGTAAGTAGAAATAAATTACCATTTTGCATGGAGTTTACACACGCAAAGCAACCTTTGAGTGGTAAAACCTAAAATCAGCATGATCAACAGAATATAAATCAATGATCAAAGCTCACAGATGAAACGGCCAAAAAAAACATCTCAACAATTATCTGCAAGCATATGTGCATCAAAACAAAACAAAACAAAACAAAACAAAAAATGCAAACCAATCAGAAAACCCATTCCAACGGTTCAGTAATTGATTATCAGGATACCTAAGGATTTAGGACTCTCTCTCAAAAAAATTATAAAAGAAAAAAGAAAAAGAGAAAAGATTATATAAATTAGATCTAAGCTGTGCCCCCCACCCATTACCAATGTTTACAGACTACACCTGGGTGGGGTGGGGTGGGGTGGGGCAATTGACGAGTGAAACACTAGATGACAAAAACAAAGTAGAGTGGGAGTGGAAGAGAAACAAACATTTGGCTCGCTTGGAATTTCCGTCTGGGTGCTGAAGAATCAGTGGATCCAGCAGCAGCAGCAGCGCCTCCTCCGGAGCTTGAAGACGGAGCATTTGAACTCTTGGCGTAGAGTTTTCTTTGACGGACCCAACACAACCCAACTGACTGATGATGATTATTACACAAAAATACCCAAGAAAGATGGATCAAAAATGTAGAGGATGATGAGGGTATATGCCGATCAAAATATCAAAACACGCACACCCACACATAATATATATAGAGAGAGAGGGTGTTTGCTTCTCATCGCTTTGACTTTGAAAGGTAAACAAAATGTAGAGGACTGCCCCGCACACCACCCCCCCTCTCTCTCTCTCTCTCTCTCTCTCTCTCTTCGTCTCTCTAGAACAAGGAAGGAATGACTGACCGAAAGAGGAAGGAAACCAGAGAAGATTAAACAAAAAAAAAGTCAAACTGAGAACAACAACCCAACCCAATAAACACGGTTTTATTTGTGTTGGACTTGGACCCGGTTTGCTTTCTTATTACTCCATCAATCCATGACATTGGCAGCAGATATTTATTTTAGACGCGGAGCTTCTAAAACCACCTCCAATGTACTCATTGTTTCAAAAATTAGATCGGCGAGTGAATGGAAAAAAAATCAGGTCAATAAGTTATTGATTTAATTATCTGAGTTGAATCATAATATAATCGTGACATTACAAATATATTTAAATTATATTTAAATAAATAATAAGTAATAATATTTTTTAACTAAAAATATAAAAATATATTTTAGATTATTATTAATTTTAATTTTGAAAGAAATAAATTAAATATTCAATATTCCCTCCGTATGGTTTTAATTCAAATAATTTGATTGAAAGAAGAGCAGAATTTTGGAGAATATCAAATTTTATTAATTTCCCTCTAATAAATTTGATTGAATCTCACATAGATTTCTTGAAGTTTTTTTAAGAATTTTTTTTATAAACAAGTAAAGACTTTCACAATAATTTCAAGCTCTCAATAGGATTTTTCACAAGAGAGACCCTTGAATGAGAGTTTCCAATTTTTTTTTTTCTTTTGTTTTATTCAAGGAAATGAAAATAGACAAGAGAAAAAAGAGTTCAAAATAACAAGCAGAGGGCTAATCTTTACTACAGACACTCCAATCATATCATCAGATGAGGAAGTTGTGACTTGCATAGGAGGATCCTCAATAAAACAACACAAAACAAAAAGACAGAAGAGTTTTATTAAAATTTTCTTATATAATATATATATATATATATATATATATTGTGACGCCCCGAATCTACACTATGGTTGCAGTCAAGGGAGAGTCACTAATGAGTTCTATGGTCAATAACCAAGTAAGATCCCAGATCACCGAGGAGTCAAATTAGCCTTCTAAGTCCGGCTTTCTTAGGCAGTGCACTACCCTTTTGAACAGATCTTAAAAGGTATTGACACAAGGTCTCATAAGCAACGATAAGGTTCATACATATAATATATAGAACATAAGTACATACAATCTCGAATATTCTTAATTCCAAAGGCTTGTTCCATTACATTACATCCCAAAAGGAAAATTTAAATCTTCACATAAGCCTTACAAAATATCAAAAGGGATTCTAACTTTCCTAAGATGGCCAAAAGTCTTCGAAGGTTCAGGTTTTGTCGTCTCCAGCTATATGCTCCTCTTCGGCACTGGCATGACACGCCGTGAGCTTTGAATGCCCAGTAAACACACACACACCCGTCCCTTTTTCCCAGTCCAATACACAATCACAAATATAAATCAAAAGTAAAGCATGATTACTCAACTAAATAAAACAAAGGTTACAAGTTAGATGTAGTAAAACTAGAAATCCCCAAAGAGATTTCGTCCTCCCAACCACAAGAATTGGACACCAGACTATTCGGAACTCCCCCTTTTGCTGCTTTGTTGCAGAACTAACCTCGGATGCCTACCAACGGTTATCGGTTATATACCGCGTAGCGCCAACCGCAGGGCCTCAAAAAAGACAGCGAAAAGAAAAAGTTTTATCTCCTGAATCCAACATCATCCTTCCAGAAAAAGTTTTATCATCCTGAATGTCCCATCCGGACCCAACCTTATCTCACCATTCAAACCGTCGCAAGGAGTCCAAATACGTCCGTTCCATTCCAAGGTTTACGCGACAACTGCTTGCGCAAGACTTTAACTTCCAAATAGGGAACGCATCCCAAAAATCCATATATCATATATTCTCATCTTTTCATTACTCAGGTGCTCGAAAACCCAATACCCTCCCAATTAGGTTTCCGGTTGAAGTTAAATGTTTTACATCAAGGTTAGTCTAATTGATAAGACAATAATATCCACATAGGCATGCATCCATAAAGCGATGAAGATAAACAACATAACCATAATACACATAATAACGTGTCAAGATATGCTCATATGTAAGTAGGCAATTTCATGAATTCAAGGGCATAAAACATCCATGCATAACACAGTTTCCAGATTTAACATCACATGAAGATTGAAATAAAAGGGCTATCTTAGATCTTCCACCGGACTCGGTCTCCATATGGTTCGTAGAGAATTTGATCTAGTTTCTAGAACACTTTTCAGAAATGGGATTGCTTTTCCAGAATTTAAGTTATTTAGAAAATATTCCAGCGCTGTCCAGAATCTGTCCAGATTCGTCGATCGTTACGAAAATTTGATTTTCTTGCAAACCGCTTAATGTTTTTCGATGAAACCAATTTTAGTTGAAAGCTAACATCTTAAGGAAGGTTTTGACATAAAATAGAGGTCCAGAATAATTTTGTACATGTTTCTAGAATTTCTGGAAGTGGGCTAAAAAAAACAGATTCTAAGGTGCTTTGCCCAAAACAAGAAGATTTATGAAAAAGGGGTTCCATCCAGGGAAAGTTTCATTTCTTTTGTGAAGAAAATATGCTGACTATCACATGTTTGACTCAAAAAATTTGGTTGAAAGAGTGCTCTTGAAAGTTGAGAGATTGGTACAAAAAGAAGATGGTTTTGTACCAAAATGGAGAAAATACAAGAGAGATGGAATCAATGCTCAACTTTTAGCATTTTTAACAAAAGTAACTCATCAATAACAGATCTAAAAACATTATTTAGAACCCTTAGAAACATGTATTTGAAAAAGGAAAATGAAAGAGAAGGTTGTGTTGTGGCTTACCTACTAAGCTTGCACAAGAAGGCTCTCTTCTTCCTCCCTCTTCTCCTCTAGACTTCTCTTTCTTGCTCTCCTCCCTCTCTCTAACCTAATGTGTGTATGTGGGTGTGGTGTTTGTGCTTTGCCAAGCTAGGGGAGGTTGATATTTATAAACAATTCATAATGTAAAATGTCCTAAAAGCCCCTTAGTTGGAAATGGATGGAGATGTTAGAATTTGTTTGAAGTGTTAAAGGAAAAGGGATGGTTTGGGAGGCTTACTCAAGGATTTGGCAAGATTTAGTTAAAATAGAACTAGTTTAGGAATTAGTATCCTAGGTCTAGGGTACCAGGTGGTGTTTCTTTGTAGAATTTCATGATGGTGGTTCTTGGAAATTGGTTTCTCACTTTCTCCTAGGAAGGCTTGCCATAGGGAAGGGTGAAGGGGCTATTATTTTAATGATTTTAGGTATTAGGGGCACAGTTCTCAATGTATACATATATATAGATTTCAATTGATTGATGGTATTAATAGTATTAGGGTACATGTACTATTTTTGGGGTAATTCTTGAAATTAATAAAAGAAATGAGGGCTTGGAATTAAACTCATGTATTGAAACCTTACTTATGTGTTTAATTATGATCTAGTTAGGTTTAGGGCTAATTTAAAAACTCATAGCAAATCTTTATTGGTACTAAAGTCATTATTGCTCCAAGATTTAAGTGATTTGTTTGTACTAAAGTATAATGATGACGACTAGTCATGTCCTCGAGATTTGGGGAGATTTCCCTATTTATTTTGTGTACAAATCTTGAAAATTGTAAAACATAATGTTAAAAAAATATTTTAGGGTACAAGTGTATATATAAATATATAATGGTACTTGTTTGAGGTCAATTTGTGATTTAATAAAAATGTGAGGGCTTGGGCTCAATTAAAATATCTATTTCAAGTGAAGAGTTAATAAATTAGTGTTTAGGAAAAATAATTCGGTTTGTATTATCTTGCTTTGAATTTAAAGGTAAATAACTGAATGAAGACTATAAAAATCGGAAGTTAGGGTTTAGAGCAATTAATCTAAAATTTGAAAGTTAAATAATTAATATTAGAGTGTTATAAATGATTTCTAAGCTTACAGGGTTGATTAGGGTTTGTATGGTTTCGTCCGTGATGCGTTTTCGACTCTAGAGTTTAATTTGCGAGCAACCAACGAATTAAAGGCTTTGTTATAGTAACTCAAAATTTTGGGACCTAATAAGGTTTACAAAAGTTAGGGGTCTCACATATATAATAAGAAAGAATGAAATAATAAATAAACAAAAAAAAAAAACAAAATTTCGATTTTATTGACTCGGTGAACCTTCATTGGTTCGGCGATTCAACTGCCGATTTTGTCAGAATAAGCTGGTTTTTTACTTTGAACGGTTTAATGAGTGTATCCGGACCGAAACACCGACCGGTTGATGGTTCAACCAGTCGAACCAGCCAGTCCAGCCTGGTTTTTAGAACCTTGAATATACTAATGAAAGTATTTTGTTTCAATTTTTTGAGTTTAATTTTATAGAAATTGATTTTTTTATTTTAAATATTTTTTTCATTTTTTTGTGAATATTTAAAAAAAATTACATATATATTTTTTTTTTTAGATGCACCTTCAAAAGTAAAATATTTGTAAAAAAATATTTTAAAAATTCAATAATTATACAAGAATACAAAAAATTGTATTGAATTTTTATATTTTTTTTTTGTATTTTGATGTTTAGTGAATTTTTTAAATATATTTTCTTTACAAATATTATACTTTTAATTGTATTTATGTTAGGTGTATTTAAAAATTTAAAAAAATACTTAAAATATTAAAAAAAATCAGTAAAAATAAAAAAAATGGAAAATAAAAAAATAAATTTTTTTGATAAATTAATCTTTAGTTATGAAACCAAACAAGCTGAATATACTCTTATTTGGACAAACTACTACTATATTTATTTATTTATTATTATAACAATTACAATTTCATCTTTAAAAAATAAAATAAAACATAAAATAAAGGGAAATTTATCAAAAAGTCATATATGGCTAAATTGTGTTCCGTTTGATTCCACTAAGTTTTTGTTTGATTGCCAAGTCCATGTGAGGGGGGACTGCTTGCTGATAAGTCATTTTTTGAATGTAGATGGTTGTATGATGGACGAATATGCCCTCACATAATTTATGGAAATGTTCTATTTGTAACAATCCTCGCTTTATCTTGGTCA